TAATGACCAAAATACCCCTTACAATTTTTAGGGATATTTTGGTCATTTAAATTATTGAAAATATTTTTTTTTATATTTTTTGTTAAATCGAGTTTAATAGAAGAATGGACGTCCAAAATTTGGTGTCAAAAAAGTTTATAGAAAAAAAATTAAAAATAAAACAGTGTAAAGACATGACATTGTGATTGGGGCAATCTTAGTCCTCCATTAAAAAATGGACGATTGGATAAGGGGGAACATAGAACTTCTATGGTGTAGGGGGAACATAAAAAGCTTTCCCATTTATGGGGACCTCTTTTCTCTCTCTCTAATGCCAAAGACTTTATGCTCATGTAGGGACAAATCCAAGATTTACTCCTTTCGGTAAGACCTTATTTGAGTATTCTTATGACTTTTTTTTTTTGGGGTAAGTCAGTGGGGGAGAAGGCCCCTTACCCGTTTTTTATTAATAAGTAAGAAATAAAAAGTTTACAGTTCATTACCGTAAAACCCTAGAACATGGCATTTGTGCCAAATCATGAGTTAAAGTAAGGCAAATAAAATCCGGCGAACGAGAACGCCATACAGTAGCTCTTTGATAAGATGTAGTCATATTTGCAAGAATATCAGCCACCATATTGGCTTCACAAAAGATATAGGAAATGGACCACCCACACTTAGAGAGACGTTGTCGACATTTTATTGCCACTATATGTAACTTCCATGGACGTCGCCAGCGTTCATGAATAATATTAACGAGCAATGCTGAGTCACTTTCAATCTTAAATGGGTAGCTGATTAGCTATGATTAATCCTTCTTCTAAAGCGCAAAATTCCATATAATTATTAAAGGCGAATCTAAAAGGTTTGGCAAATGCTGCAATAAAAGTACCATCAGAATTCTTAATAACACCACCTCCCCTTGCTTGCCCTGGGCTATGCAAGGAAGCCCCATCAATGTTTATATTGAAGTGATTAGGGTTAGGAAATGACCATGCCATTGGAATAGTATTTTTATCCCTTTGCTGATACCATTTGAACTGTAAGTTATCAATGATCGCATTTTATGACAAATGGAACGTCCAGGATTTAGCAATAGCTAACTCTCGAACATGATAAATGATCTGTTTGACTAATTGTTCCCTTCTGGTCAACTTATCCTGGAAAACTCTCCGGTTGCGTTCCACCATAAGAATCATATAATTGTGAAGAATAAAGGCGTTCAGATATTGAATAAACCATTTGATTTGAATCTGAATGATAACCATTTTCTCAATATCATACGAATAGAACTGTCAGAGATGAAGCGTTTACCGCATTGGTAGGTAACCGACCTCCATATAGCCTGTGACAAGTCACAAAGAAATAATAGATGACATGAACTGTTATCACTATTTTTGCAAAAGGGACATACATGAGGAGCCATAGCAATCACACGTTGCTGCAAGAAAGAAGTAATAGGTAACTAATGATGGAGGGCTAACCAAGAAAACCATTTCACTCAGGGGTGATATTTTGCTGACCACAAGGTTTTGAATATCGGTTGAGAAGTTCCCTTATTAGGAATATGCTCCCAAACTTCTTTAATTGAGAACAAACCACTCGCAGAATTAATCCATACAAAAAAATCCCTATATGGCTATAGTATAAGGATAATATTCTGAACCTCCTTCCATATCTGTGTCAAAAAGCCTGACGTAGGCAGGGGTAAGACCCAAGATTGAAGAACATCTCCAATATGATTAGAGACCTTTGGCATAACAACCTCAAGGTCCTGATGAACACTCGTACCATACGAGTCCTATATTGACTTTTGTGATTACCACGGCTCTGCCCAGAAGTCCACAAGCCGACCATCACCAATAACCCATCAGACATTATCCTTCAAATGAGATAACTTGAGTCGGATACGCTTCCCAATGTAAGATGAGTATCTTTTGTATTTAGTCTCCCATATGGAAGAATTCTTGAAGTAACGATGCCTAAACAATTGAGCAAATAAAGATGAAGGCTCTGCCAATATTCTCCATGCCAATTTCATCATCCCTACAATATTGAAATCGACTATATTACATATCCCTAAACCCCATTCTGCTTGAGGTAGATAGATTGTGTTTCATTTAACTAGATGAACCCCCTTCTTTCCAGCCATACCTGGCCATAGGAAGTTTCTCTGCAACCGTTCAATCATATTACAGATTCTTTTTAGTAAAATAAATGATAGAATCCAGAATATAGAAGAAGCACATAGAATTGATTTCAACAGTTGGAGACGCATTGCATAAGACAAAGTCAACGCCTGCCAACTTGTCTTTTCAATAACTTTTCCAACCAAAGTATGACACTGACTATGCTTCAAATGATCATGAAACAAAGGTAGCCCTAGGTAATGGACTGGAAGGGACCCTGCGCCAAAGCCAAGTTCCTTAAGAATCAAAGATTTATTGTCTTGCGAGACACCAAAAAAGAAAGCTTCACTTTTTGCAATACTAAGTTCTTGTCTTGTGGTTTCTTAAAAAATAGAGAGGACTGACTTCAAAGTAACAACATTATTAATTGAAGCAATACAAAAAATCACAGCATCATCCGCATAAAAAAGATGTGATATTTCATAATCACAACTCTAAGGAAAAGCCATAGTAATTATACCTTGCTTGATAGCATAATCCAATTGTCTACTCAAGAAATCTATCACCAGTAGAAAAAGATAAGGAGATAAGGGATCCCCTTGTCTCAAATATCTTTTTCCTTTAAAATAACCATTAGGAGAACCATTACGCAACACAGAGAAGAAAGAAGTAGATATGCATAAACGAACCCAAGATATAAAAGCATATGGAAATCCCAAAGCATTCATACGAGCAATAATAAGGGCCAAGACACTTTATCCTAAGTACTGCTTGAATCTAATTGCAAGCACATTTTTGTCCTATTAGAATACTTATTGCAGATAGATATGAGTTCATTTGCCATGAGGATGTTATCTGTAATAAGTTTATCTTTCAGAAAGGCAGCATGTCTAGGGTCAATCATATCACTTAGCACTACCCATAGGCGATTAGAAATGGTTTTATTAATTATTTTATACAACACATTGCATAAACCAATTGAACGAAAATCTTTCATAATTCTTATGACTTTAAATTTGGAAGATGTAATTCCTCTTACCAGTGAAACCTAAAAAAAAAAACAAAAGAAAAATTCTTCCCTCATAAAAACACCAAGGGATTGTACACTAGGAGATCATTTATTTTTGGCAAGAGGATGTGACAACCATTTTTAACCATTGGATGTGAATTTAATAGATTGAAGTGTGCCCTAACATTTGAGAAATTTTACTTTGGACTTTGTGCCCAATTATACATTCCCAACCATCCGGTTTCACATCCAATGTTCAATAATAATTGTGACATTCTTATATCAAAAGTAAATGGTCTCATTGTATATATTTTCCTAAGAAAGGATAGAGAATGTTTGATTTTTTACTGCAAGTACAAGGATGTCACAAAATCCAATTTTCTTTTAAAGCAATACTCATATAGAGTGATTTCTAATATGCATTCAAAATGATGAGTGACAAGATAAGAAGTAATAAAATTCAAAATGAATACATTAGGGAGAACTTATGTGTAGTTCCAATAGGTGATAGGATGAGAGAAAATAGACTTAGGTGGATTGGTTATGTGCGGTGTAGACTCAGTACAACACTGGTTAGGAGATGTAAATTGGTTCAAGTGGAAGGTTAAAAAAGGGTAAAAAGTAGGTAGGCCCAGAAGGATATGGTTGTAAGTAGTGAAAAAATAAATAAGATTTATAGCTTTACTTAAGGTATGATCCTTGATAGACCAGAATAACAAACCATGGTTGTTTTAGATAATTATTTGAGGAAGATAGGCCTATCTATTTTTTTAAGGGTGCAGTTTGCATACGGATGCATCCGTAGGTGTAGAGATAAGGTGCACCTTCAAATTTTATCATGGTATATAATTTTGATATAAAATGTTATTAGGAATATCTCAAAATCTATTTTTATATCTAATAATAAAATTTTAAATTTAAAAAATGGTTAAAATCAAGTAGATCTATGCACATATGAAAATCTTGAAAATAGACAGTACAGATAATATGTTGTAAAATGTACTGAGACTTGACATATTTTTATTTTTCATAGTCATAAATCTCAATGATCAATTAATGGGTTTTTCAACATTAAAACTATATTTTTCGATAGATTTTTTAAGGGCATCCGTAGTTTTACAAGCATCATTATATAAACTCTTTCGTTTTTTTTTCAAACAATTTAAGAGTCAGCTTTTTTTGAAGATATTAATGTAGTGGTGCCAGTGTGAATGAAATCTAAACCGTAATGATCAGGTATGGGGGTACGACCACCGTGACCGCATCCCCTTTCCAATGAGTAAAAAGGCTTTAAAAAATTTCTCACTAAGTTTTTTACTAGAGAAAAAGTAGATGTACATGAGGCTCCCGCGAGACTTCACTATAGCGCCTTATTTACATGTCCACCTTGTTTTGCACCCCGCCGCCTGTGTCTCTAACACAGCGGTCAAAAGGAGGTCCCCTAGGAGTCAAGAATAATTCACGCCTCTTTAGTGGGGAATGACTGGTTCCTCTCTTCTCCAATAGGGTATCACCACGTGTTCTAAACTATAGATCTCCACGCGTACCAAGCCAGAAAACGTAGGTACCATGATACTCACACGTGCCAATCCCATATAAAAACCAACGAATACTTTTTCCAAACTCCAAACCACTGTCTCCTTCCCCCCCCCTCTCTCTCTCTCTACTCCAAACTCCAAACCATTCTCTCTCTTCTCTCTCTCTCTCTCTCTCCTTTCTCTCTCTACTGGAACAGCTGATGAGTAAAGCAGAAAAGAATCTCTCCCTTCCTCTCTCTTAAAAGAAGGACACTCTTAAAAGAACGGAAAATGGAACATGGACTGTGATTTACCCCTCTCTGTCTCTAGAAGGGCCCTGTTTTCCATTTTCCTTTTGCCTTTTGCTTTTGGGTTATTGTGTTTTTGTTTTTTAGGGTCTTCTGCTTCACAGTTCTGAGTAAAGCCTGCTGCATTTCTTGACCTTTATCTCCCTCTTTCTCTCTCTTCAGTTTCTGCTTTGTTTTGGGCCTGTAGATAATAGAGAGGGAATGAAACTGTTGATGCATTGGTGTGGGTTTTTAGAGTGAGAATGGCGAGTGTGATGATGGCGAGTGAAGGCCAGCCAGTGTTCCATGACTTTCTAGGGATGAGTTGTAGCAGTGACTCAGCTGTTTTAGCTAAGAATGGTGGATTTAGTGGAGAGCTCTGCAACCCTTCTAGCTCAGATCTTGCTTCAGGTGCCTTTCTCTCTCTATTTTTCCTCTAATTGAAGGTTGGCTCTCTGTCTTTCTCTCTCTAATTTTTTTAGTGGCTGGGTGGTTGGTCTCTCTCCCTCTCTGTCAATTCAATTTCATTTTTAAATGAAATGTTAGTTGCTCTCTCTTCTCTCTCTTGGTGAATTCAATGATGGGTCTCCTTCTCTCTCCCTCTCTCTCTCTGTCTCTTTCCCCCATTGCTTTTGCATAGATGGCTGGTTGGTCTCTTCCTATCTCTAAGTCATACTCTTTTTATGTTTTTGTTTTTCAAATACCATGATGGTGGTCTCTCTCTCGCTCTCGCTGTGAATGATTGAGGACTAGAACCGGGGACGTCGAGGTTACTTCTTAGTGGATCTGGGTGTTTCTTTTGTCCCTTTTTTCCATATCTGATGGGCATATTTGTTTCTATGAGTAAAATGGTTGTACAGAGATTCAGTTTTGCTTTTGGGATTTCCTGTATTTCTTTCTTTCTGCTTTTGCCTGTTGTTGTGCTTTTCTGGAGTTTATGGTAATGCATGAGTGGCTTCACATTTACACTTGGATTTCTATGTCCCCCTCTCCCCTTCTCCTTTTTTTTTCTTTTGTAGTAATCTTGTAGCTTCATTCTTTTTAACAGTAATTAGCATGCAGAAATGGAGATAGCTTTATTAAAAAAAAAAAGGAAAATGGAGATAGCTTTCTCTGTTTAATCTACTGTGACGTTCTTTTAGCTGCATAAATGTTCTCAATTTACTTTTCCTCTTGTCCTGTAATTGCATATTTCCTTTCAATTTTCAAATGTTGATTGTTGCTGCACTTTGCCTTTTTCAGTCTCCTGAGTTTACCTGGCTGTTTGCCACCTTGATCATAGGGTTATGCTTTCATTTTTTTTCCTTTTTTATTTTATGCATTCGGTAATCTTTTTTACGTTAAGAAATTAGTTTGCCCTTTTTCTTTCCTTTTTTGTGGATGAGTTCTTATTACATGTTCTTTGTTGTTGAGATGATTATTTGAAATGTAACCTATCTCACTTTGATTGACTTGGATTCTCTTATGCATTTTGTTGCTCTCTGTTTTGGGAATGCTTATCCTCTTGAAAAATAAATTGAGCATGTTAAATTGTGGACACTTTGTAGTTTTCTTTTTCGTGATCGTTGATCACCATAGATGGCATTCATCTTTTATCGACTTTTTAGAAATGTTAATATTTTTTTACAAAGCATGGTTCTAAATTCAGTGACCTTGTCTCTCTCACACACAATTCTTGGGTTTATCTTTTTTCCTTTTTGTGGAATAGAGAGGCATCCAGCTAGCAATTACAAGGAAGTTCAATTACATGGTTCTAGGAGTGACTTCACCGGGCCCGAGATTGATAACCAGTGTTCAGGGCGGAAAAGGAGTGGCTCAGATTCTGCTCATATGGGGTCAATGAGGGATAGGGTGCTTCAAGTTGGAACAGATGCACTTGAAAACTCACATCTGATGAAGGTACTTCAGGAGAAACTGTACAAGAGTACATTATCATTGCAAAGAGTTCTTTTTTTTTTGAGGAAATGGTTAACTATCAATGCAGCCGACCCCAAATAATTGGGAAAAGGCTATGATGATGATGATGATGCTTACCTATCAATGCAAAGAGTTATTTATTAAGAAAAGCGAATAATCCTTTCCCTAAAGCATGGTTTTCTAAAATTTTTTCCTTTGGAACTACACTCAATTATATGCAGTATTTTGAAAATCCTTATCTTTCTCAGTTACCATGTTATTGCAAGCAAGGAACCAATCCTCCACCTCTAAACTTAGGATAACATTTCATGAGTTCCTTTGATATTTTTTGGTTGACAAAATTTTGGATTTTTCCTAGTTTATTATTCCAATGTTTCTTTGTATTTCCTCCAGATATTTATAAAATGCCCCACTCTCATCTTTGAGCTACCAAATCAATGACAAATATCACTTTGTTGTATGATGCTCCATTTTCTGAAAAACAGATCTTTCGCAATGAGGCACAGGACGATAGAAGGGTGAGCCAAATTGACAATGAATTTCTTTACAGTAAGCAACCGCCTAGGCCAACCTCTACCGGCCCAGCATTAGTTCAAACTCAAATGAGTAACCAATCCAATTTAGTTAACTACAACTGGGACCGTTACGCACAATTGCATACACCTCAATTTGCTTGCCTCCCTTCTCGCTTCAACCAATACAGAGGATACCCAGATAAGATTTGCTCAAATTATAGGGATACCAATGCTGGTCCTTCTCTTATTTCACCACCAGCTGCTGATGAAGGTTCTAGAACAGGAAAAATAGGTTCTGGAATCTCAAATATCATATCAGCCTCTCCAGGTGATAGAAACTCAGGCAATGTTCTTCTAGGATGCAATCGATTAAAAGCCGGGACTCAAGGCATTAATCCTGAATCAGCTGGCCCCTCTAGGTTAAGCATTTATTGTCTTGCACTTATTACCTCTTGTTTTTTTTTCCTTAATTTTTCATTTGTTTTGGAGAAGGGAGAGTATGCTATAAATTGGTTGACTATGGAAACCAAAACCCATCTTGGCTTATCATTGCCCAATGAGATGATGGAAGGTCATGGATGGAGAGTGATAAACCACCATAACACTACATGATCCCAATAGTGGATTCCGCTCTCTGTTTCTTTCTCCATAACTGTCCATCATATCATTGGACAGTGATGAACGCAATGATCTTTGGTTTTCTGTACTCAAATGGATTAGTGTACTTTCTTGAGGATAAATTGCTTGTGTCATGTTTTTATTTTTTAATTCTTTTCTTGGTTATAGTCCTTGTCGAGGAGTTCATTAAAGTGCTTCTACTTTTTGTCTGCCAGTCAACAGGTTCCTGCATCTGCTAGTCGGCAGATGACTATTTTTTATGCTGGCCAAGCCCATGTCTTTGATGACGTGCACCCAAAAAAGGTCAGTTTATGACTCTAGTGCACTGTCTATATAAGACTTCTTTCTATTAAAGATATTTGGGATTTGTGGTTCTTGATCCTGCTCATATCTGGTTTTGTTGGCCTTTGTAAATTGTTTCTCTTATTCAAAAGACCTTGTTCCTTTTGTTGGTAACTTGGTGTCATGGATAAGTTGAACAAGGACCTCTTAACATTGACATGATCCTCAATAGATCCTTTAATTGTCTGGATCCATGAAAAATGTCAGCCAACATGAAATGACAATTGCGAATTGAAAAGTTGGTTTTTTTGTTAGATTAGTGAATAAAAGTACCATTTCAGAGCACATGCCTTGCAAAACTCACAAGTGCCATTGAGGAGGCTGGAATTTTCTTTTGATGTTTGCCATAATATTGGGGCTTCCATGAATTAATCATGGTCTTTAGTAAAAAAGTTAGGCCTTGTCATTGCAATTATGCCTTATGACATATTTGTCAATATTGGTTTTTCCTTTTCTTCTTTTTCCTTCTGATGTGAATTGAGACTTGCATGAGTCAACCTGGGTCACCAATCCCCTATGTCCGAAATCATTTGAGCCCATGACTCTACTGGATTCTATCCTGTCTTGATCCAGTTCTACCTGACTTGGTAGTGACTTGCTTCGAGCATCAACTTTAGTTTCCCTGTACCTCGTTGTATTGAACTTTCCTAATATGACAATTGAAGTCTGGTACTTGACTTCCCAATAGGCAAGTCTTCTTGAGTTTTATTATATTAGAGTACAAGATTATGCAAATTTCTCAATATTTCTTAGCTTTGAGCAGATCCCCATAAAATTTATGAGGGCTCGCGCCTAACTCTCTGGTGCACCCTATGTGACTTAACCACTATTCTTAGTGACCTATTGGGGTGATTGGTTTGCTTGTGCATGGTGAGGCCTACTCTTTTTGGTAGGGTGATTTATTATTAATATGAAGTGAAAGTGGTTAAGGGATCACATATGGGTTTAATTCGGTGCATCTACTCATGGCCCACACTTGGTAGGAGTACCGTAGTTCAACTAAGAAAACGGGCTTTGTTGAGGGGTCTTAGTTGTGGTTCAATTGGATAGTATAACTATCAAACACGTCTAAAGAAATTTTAATTCTGTTTTGGGACCTCTACTGGAGTCTTAAATGGAAAAGTCTTAAGAAGGCTGAAATGGTTTTTTTGGGTCTATGGAAAACTTTGTGTTCCGGAGCTTCTAGAAGTTCTAAACTAGGAATGTCTATAAGAATTCCATATAGGGTTCCTTTCTAATGCTTATGCCGGATCATAGTTGCTGGAACTTTGGGGGTAAGGCCATGGTCCCACCTTAGGAACTTGATCTTGCGGTTCCTCTTAAGGAATCTTAGAGGGAGCTGGGTTTAGAGATATGGGAGCTCTCTCTCCCTTCAAAATGGGATCTCAATCTACATGCTTTTAGGATCCCTCCTAGGACATGAGTTATACAATTAATTGAATTAGTGCTCCTCTCCTTAGTATGATAGATTTATATATTTAGAGTTATGTTAAAAAAAGGTACATATCATATCGTGGTATACTATAATTATGATATTGAAAAACTATAGTTTAATTTCATAGTAAGCCAATTTATGATATTATTAAACTATATTATTGCAGTGAATTTCAGTATTATAACGATTGGATTGTTAGTAAGCTAAGGTGTATGATAATTGATTGAGCAGGCATGTCTTGATCCTAATTTTATCATATACTATTAATTGATCTCATTTATGCGTAGTTGAGCTTTGTTCCCTCCAAGGCAAAACCTCAATCCCAGTGCATGGGATCTCGCTCCCAGGTATCCTAGGATCTAGCTCCTTAACTTGTCGAATGTATGTACGTCAATCCTGATCCTATGGAGCTTCCACCTTATGGCGGTTGGTGTTCTTTGAACTAGTTCCGCTCCTGAACCTGCCCCTGCCTCCAACAATTATGTGCTGGATAACTGAGGCTAATAAAGTGGGAAGAACCTTGAGTTTGTAAGACATTATTTCAAGAGATTGTGTGCTTGATCTCGTGCATCTAGGAGCTATCCCTTGATGTGTCTAACTGCCAAAGAATGTGTATGTATTTATTTTCTATGTTGTGTTTTTTCTTTCTTATAACTATCTTACTTCAAGTGAATTTTTAAAACTAGTTTGATCTTATAAAAAAAGATGCAGTAATGTTTGCTTTGGATACTGGTTTAGCTTTTGTGGATGAATTAACAATGTTCCAGCCGAACTTATTAATTGCTGAAACTAATATATTTAAACATGGTATGCAATCCAAAGTTAAAGATGCAGTAATGTTTGCTTTGGATACTGGTTTAGCTTTTCTGGATGAATTTACAATGTTCCAGCCGAACTTATTAATTGCTGAAACTAATATATTTAAACATGGTATGCGATCCAAAGTTCTTTATCACCTGATCATAAACTTGGGTATTCAATAGTGAGTTTGCTCTCCAATTGAAGAGAATCTTACTGCCATCTTTTCTTAACATCATTAACTACTGGAAAGAATATCAGTTATCATTATAAAATATCTACTTTTTATGAGATCTCCAGCATTCTTTATTGAAAGTCTATACACGAACTTCATTGAAGGCAACCCAACAAATTACACACACACGCATGCACGCCAAGCTATTCTTTATTTTACCTCTATCATGCGCACAAACGTAACCCTACCCAAAAGAAATGTGCACCAATCTTACAGGTAGTTTAATGGGTTCTTTAGTCTGCTGCTTTAAATTAGGTATCCAAACCGTGCTCCCATTTTCCAGGAGATAGATGGACCCACTTTTTGGTCCCTATTCTATGGTAAGCTCATTATTCAGGGAAACATAATCTCCAAAGAAGAATCTTGTCCTCTGAATTACTGCACATTGCATATCCAATATTATTCTAACAACATGTTGATTCGTTTTACTTTTGAGATTTTTTCCCTATTTTTTTTAGGTCATTACCATCTTTCTTTATGGGACGGAATGTTTGGCGGTGAAGAAACAACATATTCGTAGAATGAGTGTAGTTGAGATGAGGATGTTAAGATGGATGAGTGACAAAATAGGGTTAGAAGAAAATTATTACATTTGAGGGAACTCAAGGGTAGCTCCAATAGGCGATAAAATGAGGGAAAGTATATTTGGTGGTCTAATCATGTGCAGCGTCAACTAGAACAACACTAGTTGGGAGGGTGATTTGGTTCAAGTGGGAGGCTCTAGAAAGGACAATGGAAAGGCTTCAAAGAACTTGTATTAAAGTAGTAATAAGATATTGTCACTTATAGTTTGATTGAGGGTATGGTCCTTAATAGAGTGGAATGGCCAAACAGGATTCATGTAGCCAACCTCAAGTAGTTGGGTTAAAGCTCGTATAATGACGATGATTATGATTATTGATTGGTTTAGGTATTGGACTTATGTCCTTTTATTGAGTGTTCCTTATATATTAGGGGCCACGAGACATGAGATAGAGACATCTGTCCCTCTTGGAGCATGTTCATATGCTTTGTAGGTAAGGGTAAATTGGCTTGAAGACTTCATATTAAGATGCTTGTAGATGTTCCTTGGCACATGATGGTCAAGGTGTGAGTGTAAGTAACCTTGAGTGTTGCATAGGGAAGATATACAAATCAATTATTCCTATTCTCAAAAGTCCTGGATAAGTTTATGTAGATCTGATGAAATGTACTGTATGTACTAGGTGAGACTTAAAGCTAAGCTAGCCAATGAACTGTTGGGTATTTGGGATGAAACGCTATAAACAATAAATGAATGATGAAGATTGAAACACAAAGACACACACACCCATAGATATATAAGAGCAGTATGATGTTAGCCCACTAGTTGATAGCTACATTAAAACGACCAATGGCCCAGATTGAATCTGGGCCCAGATCAATGGTCATGATTTCAATTCGTATTTGAATTTTAGCTTTATTTGTACGAATCCAAATTACTTGCAATTTGGAGCTTCTATTCTTAAACAATAGGCGAATCTAATAAAAATATCAAACACTTTATTCACAAAAATTAAAGAGACCCAAATACCCTTGAAATTATTAGGGGTATTTTGGTAAATTTGTTGTTTGCGAATAAGTTTTTTAATATTTTTATTAGGTGTGCCTTAATGAGAAGAGTGGCCGTCTCAAATTTCATGTAATTTGAATTTGTAGAAAAAAAAATTAAAATTCAAATACAAAAT